TTATTTTTTGTCATATTTGTAATGTGAGGAGTACTTTACACAGCAAATTAAACTGGTGATGTTATCTCATATCTATCTGAACTAGGAATTATTTTTAAGAAAGTAAGGAAAGGTTTTATGAGTGTTGATGTAGCGAGAGGGGAAGAAACAGCAGAAACTGACTTGAGCACTTGTGAAACTGCATTCCAGTTACAACTATATCAGTACTGTTTTGTCTGGTACTGCCTGCATTTTGCCAGCCTGGGTTTCTCCACCTGAAGAATTGGTCACAATGCCTCTCTGAAGTAGCCTTAATATTATAATAGAATCATAGAATGGTTTGGGTTGGAAAGGATCTTTAAAGGTCATCTAGTCCAACCCCCTTGCAGTGAGCAGGGACATCTTCAACCAGATCAGGTTGCTCAGAGCCCTGTTGACCTTGAATGTTTCCAGGGACGGGACATCTACATCATCTCTGGGCAACCTGTTTCAGTGTTTCACTACCCACACTGTAAAAAATTTCTTCCTTACATCTAGTCTACTCTTTTAGTTTAAAACCGTTACCCCTTGTCCTATCACTACAGGCCCTGCTAAACTGGAGAGTGTCCAGAGGAGGCCACTAAATTGCTGAAGGGCTTAGAGGGGAAGCTGTATGAGGAGAGGCTGAAGTTGCTTGGTTTGTTCAGCCTGAAGAGGAGGCTGAGAGATCTCATCGCAGTCTATAGCTTCCTTGCAAGGGGAAGAGGAGGGGCAGGTGCTGATCCCTCCTCTCTGGCGACCAATGACAGGACCAGAAGAAATGGCAGGAAGAGGTGCCAGGGGAGGTTTAGGTTGGACATAAGGAAAAGGTTCTTCAACCAGAGGGTGGTGGAGCACTGGAACAGGCTCCTCAGGGTGGTCATGGCACCACGCCTGACAATATTCAAAAAGCATTTGGACAAGGCCCTCAGACACATGGTCTGAATCTTGTGACTGTCCTATGCTGGGGCAAGAGTTGGACTCAATGATCCTTGTGGGTCCCTTCCAACTCACAACATTCTATGATTCTATGATCTTTCTTATAGGCCCTCTTTAAGTATTCACTTTTGCACTACATATTTAAATAACAGCATTAAAATATATCCCAGTTTGGATATTCAAGACTAGAAAATAGTTCACACAGTTAGCAGATGGTTTTGAAGAGGCTCTGCTCCTTACCTTGTCAAATGCAGGGAGAGGTAACTGGGGGAAAATAAGGCAAGATGGTGAGCCAACTTCAAGGCTTTGTGTTTGGATGTAGGTCAGATTGTGCCACACTCAGTAAAAAATGAAAACACTCAAAGGCATGGTGAAATCTGCCCTTTTGAGGACCAAAACTAAAGCATGCATCAACAGGAGACAAAAAGACTGTGAACCATCTCTTTTTAGGGGTTGGGTGATTCATCAGTGTGGAGCTGACACAGCTCAGACACCTTTCCCTGATTGGGAAATTTTAATGAGCCACCTAGGATGAGAAAGTCATTGAAAATTCCCTCTGCAGTTCTGCAGATCAGCTCAAGCCACAATTGCCAGGGTTTGTTTTTTTACCCTCTTTGGTATCTTGGAGTTAATTGGTGTCCCCTTCCTTTTTTTTTAATTTGCGAAAAAAATTCATTTAAAATATCAAAATCTATCACTTTTCAGGTCAGTGGGAATTGTGTACAGAAAGGTCATTAAAAGGAAGTGAATGGAAGTAACCACATAACTCGAACTACAAGAGTTGGAAAAGAAACCTCTAAAATCCAGGTTAGCTTTGCAGAGCTCACTCCTGATGCATTCAGAGAGCACAAAGGTCAACTGAGCTTTCATCACCTCCAAAGATACAGCTAAAAAGGGAAGGAAACTGTAATGAAATGACTGCATCTGTCAGCTGGTGGAAACCAACATAATCCCACTAGAAGATGCAGTTCAAATTAGATAACAAATCTGAGGCTGGTAAAGTAACGTACTGGAAAGTCAATGTTTCATTCAGTGTACAGACAAGGCTGAACATTCAAATGCCATCCTGAAGTATATTAGTCCGGATCCTTGCTAAAGGGCACTGCCACTCCTAAGGCCCTTAAGTTTCTGCCTGCTTATGGAGAAGGTGCACTGGCTGTGCTGACGGGGCTCGGTGCTGCGCCAGGGAGAGGACACCTGTGCCCCGAGGAACCATCCTCAGACCTGAGATGGTGCTGTGGTCTGACCAGCCAAACGCATCTGAATGAACCTGCCCCTCTCAAATGATTTCTGGGTCCTGGACCAGCTCATCCAGCCCTTTTATGCCCCATGACATTGTGGTATGTCACGCTGCACGCTGAGGCTGTTCCCACACCAGAGCTTTAGTGTGGATCAGCAATGTGCTTTTGTCCCACATGTCCATCCCATTCCATGCTTTGGCAGAGCAACCTCCAAGTGCATGGATGAGCTTCCAGGTGCAGCTACACCAGAAGATGCACTACCAGCACTACTGTGAACTCAGCCCAGGAGACCAGCACAGAGCCAGCCTCCCAGCATCAAGTGTTCCCCAGTACAGGGGAACTGCGGGCACCAGCTCCCACCTGAGCCTAATGACCTCCCTTGATGTACACAGGTCTAGCAGTCTCCTCCATCACCCAGGGAACACACGTTCTCAACTCGTAACCCAGATTTGAGCTTATTGCCTCTTCTTCCTCACAGCTAAAACAGGAGGAATGCTTCTTAGCTAGGCAGCCAGCTCTAGGGACTGATATGGGTAAAGTTCCTTTGAGAAATTTATTTTTAAACTCATGTAGGCCAGCTTTATAGCTGTAAAGATGGTGGAAGGTACGATCCCAAGTGCTTCTGCTGACCCAGTTTTACAGGAACAGGCACCACTCTTACAAAAATGGGACAGTAAAAGAAGTTTAAACCCTTCAATCCTGGTTTACGCAATATCTTAATTTTGGAGCAAATCTGGATGGCAGCAGTAGTTGGCTTGAAGCAGCCTCTAGGGGAGCTAGAAGATTGTATCCAGGGATTTTCAAAGAAGCAAGCTAGCCAAATTTTCTGTACATTATGTACCACAGCAGTCTTTGTTAGTGCTATGTTGAATGCAAATTACCTTGCTTACGGTGGCCATAGCATCTCGCCTAAAACCTCAGCTGATCTACTCCTCCCAGTCCAATTTTTAAAGCTAGCTTAGCCACAACATCTTTAAAGGCAGGTATGAGCTATTAAGCAGACCTCAGACAGAGATTTTCAGCCCTGACAAATTCAGGTGACAAACAGTGCATTCCCTGGAACATCACCAGGGACACAGGTGCTGTGGCAGGGCAGATGCCAGGACAGGCATGCCTGGCACATGTCCACGGCTGCAGAGGGAATGACTTCCTCAGGAAAGGGCCTGACAGCACGCAGAGAAGAGAGGACCAAAAAGGGAGGGTTCTCAGTTGGCATGTGAGAAACCTGCAAAGGTTATGCCAGCAATATGCAGGCCCATTGAACTAGCCTTGTCCTCTTGTAACAATTTAGCTTCTGTCCAACAGACTTGGGCACAGTGTATTATTTGCAAATTTTGCCATCATGGCTAAAATATCTACTTGTCAAACTTAGTAGGAATTAATGCAACCTGAATTTCCCTCCAACACTCAGAGTCTATTCACTCCTTCTCTTGCTTTTTCCTGGGGGAGGTTGCCCACCTCCCTGCAGTACGGCTCACAACCCATATTGGAAATGGAAGGGAGATACAAGGACTTCCATTTCCTTGTACAGTTGCACATGGGAGAGAAAGATGCACACCTACAAAAAAGCAGCTGTACAGCATCGCAAGCTAGATGCATTCAAGAACACTGAGACAGTCTAAGTAATTCACATAGTGATAAAGAAGATTTTAACAGGAAAAAAAAAAGTGCTTAGGATAAAAGAAACAAACAAAAAAAGGAAATCTCCAGACAAAAAGCAAAAAGCTTTTTCAAATTGATGAAATGATTTCAGTACGAGTCCAAGTTCCTACTAAGTACAAACCTAAATGCTTTCTCTGCAAGCACCACCAAGTACAGAAATCAAGAGACTTCTGCAAACAATATGCCCTGAAAGCAAAGCAGCCAGACAGCACAAGATGAAAGTCAGCCACCCACAAGTTTAGGGTGGACACACGATGCAGATTTGTCAAACACAAAAGGAAACAAATCCTGCTGTCACAACCCCTGACTCTTAACTCAAAAATGCTTTGCACACCATTTCCACATAGATGATTAATTCTAAAACCCTTGAACTCAGAGTCCGTCGCAGGCTAGATAAAGAAAACAAAAAGCATGGGACAAACTTCATTCTCAAGAAAGGACAACATGGTGGAAATTCTTTGCTGGAACATCTGGAGTCGTCAACACTCCTGTTACACAGGGTGTAACGAGAGATCCTTGAACCAGCTCAGCTTGGAGCTGAGGTTTGATTAGTATGTGGCATGCTGGTAATTGCCTTTTACTGGCCGCTGCACAGTACTTTTGCCATCTGCAATGTGCTGCACCTACCCCTCGCTGCTTCCCCAGTACTGTGAGTGAACACAGTCACCACCAGGACCAGTGCCCTTGTCCCCAGCAGCAGCCATGCATATCACGTATTTTCCAGACTCCTCTTGGTTGCATAAAAAGACACCATCTTTCTGCTGAGACAAAAGTAATAGTCTGTCCACTAACATCAGGGGTACAGCACTGCTCAAGTGTGAATGGGTTTTTTTTTGCATAAATGGATTGTTATTTCACACCCATTGGGATAAAAGGAACAAAGCGAAAGCCTGAATTACAAAAATTATGGTTAAAAAAATTGTTCAGGAGGAAACAAAAGCTTTCAGTAAAAGCTTTTTATGCCATTCTTTTCTTCCTCACCTGCTCGGGGATATGGTTTCCCATCACCAATGCAACACCATTTGCTACCTTGACATTTGGTCAGCACTTTCCAAAACAAGAGGATTCTCACAGCAAATTAGCTTTTTGTGTCCAGAAGGTACTGGACCCTCTGGGTAGTGACTGTTAACCAAACAAACCAACCTACTGCTCCCACCTTACCTTTGGACCATTTCCCGGCTTCAAGTGATAACCAAAAACGAGTTCAAGATTCACTATTTTCTCTATGTTTTCTTCGGCTTCACCTGCAGAATCCTGCCAAAAAAAGGCAAGGCGAGACTTCACATCTACCATAATCCCTTGGGAGACAGGAGCAAGGCCTTTGGTGGCAGAAAGGATTTGCTTTTCAGGTGCTACAAGGCTGGCAGGCAGCAGGAAGGAGCCATCACTCTGCCCTGATCACGATGCTCCAGGAGGGGCCAGGACCTGTGCGTGGGTTTATGGCGCGCAGTGGGTGGCACCTGGGAGATGCTGCACGATTTCTGCTCCTGGCCGAACTGCTCTGGCGCGGCACGGTGCCGCTGTGCACATCATGGCAGCCACTGCCGTTGGAATTGCAGCTGGCGTGGCATGCCAGCAAAGCCCTGACTTTCATTTTCCCCTTTGCGGAACACGGTTTCACTGTATGCAAATTCACTGTAAGTGGATTTCATTATATATCTGTGCAATAAATTATGACTAAAAAAGCTACTTCAGGCTTTGGGGTCTAGAATTGCTTGATTAGCTCACCAAATTAAATCAGGAGAGTATCTGCTCTGGCAACCCCAAGGTTCCCAAATACTCTTGCTCTTTTGCCTGGCTCTTTTTACTGATCTCAGAAAACCAACAGGTTAATGCGAGGGTGACCAGACATTATAAATCATCCTTCTCTCCTGTAACATTAACAAACTGAGGAATGATGAGCTTTCTAGGCCAGGGGTCTGCTGTTCTTTGGTGGTGAGTAGTCAGTGGCACCAGTTTGGAGGAATGGCTCTTAAGAGTAATTTCTGATTAATGATAGCAAAGGAATTGCAACAAGTAGTAGTCTTTTAATTTAATACTACTGGTTCCATGATAAAATATTAGAGCCTCCTTGAAAACAACTTTTATTATCCTATTACTTGTTCTGATGTGACCCATAGCTGCTGTTGAACCCCTGCATTTGTCACAACCCTCTGCAGGAACTGCTGCTTCGCCCTCCCGCAAATGGTAGGAAAGTTGAGACATGAGAACAATAAAATAATCATACCAACACGAGAAGCACTTCTTATATAAACAACGAGACTTGCCTTAATTAATGGTGGAAAATGAAACAGATTTAGGTAGTCATGGGTTAACTTCTCAATAGCAGTCTAGAAAAAAAAAAAATCAACAAAATCAGATGGGACTCATTCAGTATCTCATACTGCAAATACCAGCATGAAAAACAGCACAACTCCATGTGCACTGTGTTTTCCATTGCGGATACATTAGGGCATGTGAGAAGAGTTTGAAATACAGCCCTGTTGTGGACACTGTCATGGTAGATTGGCCCCATTTCGCATGCAGAATCAGATCTGCTTAATCAGAGAAAGAGATGTTTGGGGGGCTGTTTTGGTTGTTTCTATTTATGATCAATCGACCCAGGAAGCTCAAATCTTTCATTTTGGGCATTGTTGACTTTATTAGGTTTCAATAATTTTCCCTGTAGGAAATGTAAATTAAATATATCAGTAATGGTGTGTGACATGGAAAAAAACGGCTGATGAGCAAAAGGGGAATAAATCTGTGTGACTTATGAAGCTAAATTTGCAGGACTAGCAATTACAATACAAGTATCTCTTTACTAGTAAATTGTGGTATAAAATCATTGAAACCCAACAGAATTACAGATGCTGCTTTTAGAAAAATGCTTTTCCAAAGCTGACTGCCAAGAAACTGAACTCTCCTGTGGCTACAATATTAATATTATTACTGCTGTTGTGATCAAGTTTTCCAGACCATGATTTTTTTAACTCATTACAAACATCAGGTATTTAAAACACCGTGAAACAAAGCTTTAAGAGCAACGCAACCTGGCCAGCAATCAGCTTTAAAGTTGTCTAATGGAGTTTTGTTAGTCAAAGTACGATTTAAGCTAGAGATGATATGTGAAAGTTGAGAAGTTGAGAGATTTCAGTTCAAGTAACTGTTTTCATATCTGTTCCTCTCTCAGCTAAAGAGAAATCTCTGGGGAGACCTCTCTCTGAAAACATACAAAGCTTCCTGCCAGGAGAACAACCCTCCTAGGTGAATCTTTAGCAGTATTGAGAGTCCAGCCTACAAGAAAACCAAGAGCTGCAGAGGAATATAAAGACCACAGCACATTTCATGCCTCATTAAATGCTCAGGTTGCTTTGGGTTCTAGATCCATACAAACTTGTAACTCTGGGGTTTTTTAATACAAATATGTTCTCTATTTAGCTTTATAACTTTTTTTGGTTGTTAATACTACTGAAAACCCATAGACTCCTTCTTAATATTCACACTATAACCTATTGCAACATTAATCGTATGCTGTTCAATACCTTTAAATGGATGATGTGTCCTCTGGAAACAATTCCCATGTCCTTTAAATCCTCTTCTTCTAGAAGAAGCAATCGTTTCCCAGTGATATGATGTTCCTTAAACAAGCTAGCATATACACTCATTTCACCAGAAGTATCACCTTAAGATAAGAGAGGTTATTCAGAAATCCATAGGGTGCTTTATTGGAGGGAGAAAAAGATGAGCAAATGTGATTATGAAGGTATATATGAATAGCTTTTACCTTTTCTAGTAAGTTGTTGCATCCAGAAAAACTGCAAAAAAGAGGAATCAGTCTTAAAGTTCACATTATCAAAATTTTATATTACAGTTATTTGGAGTTTGCAAGTAATCATTCTTTTTTAAAACAAAATTTTAAAATATCTCTAACTTTGGGTTAAAGGGCTCAAGATTCACCAAGGCAAGTGATTACTTTTACTCAGCTCTTTAAAAATGCCTTCTATTTTGCAGCTACCTTCCTCAGTTTACCATTATGAAAAAGAGAAATGACTGAAGCAGAAGCTTAGTGATCCGTCACATGCTAAAGGGGCTGAAGTTAAGGAGCCAGGGCTATCATGGCTTTTGCACTGGCTTTCCAGATGGCCCTTCAGTAGCTCACCAACCGCATGATACACAACACACAAGGAGGGTGCTAAATGGGATGTTAAAATCACTATGACACATCACTACGCTAGAGATAAATCACTGATGTTTTTAACTGAATAAAAAGGTAAAAAAGACTCAATACCATTCTTTTACATGAAAGAGGGAGTCCACAGCCCTTAAAACCCCTTAACTTTCTTTCAGTTAATTACCATCCTGGTGGCACAGAGTGGGATAAAACCTTTGAACCTGTTTTATCCTGTGCAGGACAGGTCTTGGGGCACTTCTACCTTCCTTAAATGATCACTCAGGAATGCTCTCCTGGCTGCTGACAGCTCCCAGAACAAGTGATTTTCGGGACATTGGAGAATGTGGCTGTTTTATGAAGGTTGCTTGAGTCCTTAATTTACTCATGGTCATTTTAAAGCCTTTCTGGGACATGAGTTTCACCAAGCAAATAGCAGTAATATCTCACCTAGATGTTCTGATCTGGCTTTCCCTCCCTCCATACCCACTGTAATTTGTTAAGAGAGCTCCAGCAGCACAACACTGGCCACATTAACACAAACTACTCACCACATCTTCTTCGGTCCACGCACAAATATCAAAGGAGGGCAGCAACTGTGTGAGAGATACGAATTGAAAAGAAAACTGTCTGATCATTTTGCTCCCCTCCACCCATGTTTTACTTTGGTGGTCAATTTTATTTGGTTCCTTTTCACCTGCAAAGAGCAGGACTTTAGGCTACAACTCTCATACTGACACACTAAACCCTTGGATTCACACTGACCACAGGCTGGCTCCAACAGCACAGTGGCAGTGCTAAATCAATCCCATTGTTTTATATAGATAAAATTTTCAGCACATCTCTGATAGAAACAATTTAGGAAGCAAGAATAAACTCCGACGGTGAGGGACTCTAGCTGCCTCTCCTCTCGGCTCTGACACCCTGGGAAGGCTTTTGCTATGGCTTTGGTACCACCTGATTTCTGCAATGAAAATAGAGCTGTGACTACGAGTCCCTCCCGAATGATGGGCATTTTCTGCAAAAGGAAGGAAAACTGTCACTAGACAGCAGTGAAAGCAGAATTTGGATTCAGGCCACTGTGGCTAGTCTTCCTGTACAGACAAGTCTCTCTTGGTTTCTGCCAATGCTTCCTAACTGCTGCCCTGAGGCTGGGGAGCGCAGTGCTGCCCAGCCTCCTCCAGTGCAGCAGCCACGCGGGACACACGTTGTTGTACGCGAATTGGTGTTAGCTCTTGAAGCACAAGGAAACCAGGGAGAATGCACTGGAGAACAGCTGTGTTAAGTGAAATTCTGGGATGATTTGAAAACTGACACAGACGTCACTGTAATACTGATTGCCATTTTGCTCATTCAAGCTTATGGTATTCCAAACTTCACCTTCTTGGCTTTTCATCCAGCTAAAGGCTTAACATTAATTGGTATGTACGTATTTGCACTGTCGGTGTCTCCCAAAGGCTCAATATCATGATGTAGCAGCAAACTTATTTGAGGTACACAACATCAACTTATGAGAGACTTGGCTCGGTTACCCACCAGCCCCCAAGGCTTTGTAACTCCCTCCACAGAGCTCTGCCACTCACAAGCTCTCCAGACCCTACCCACAGGCCAAGCATGGCCCCTCGCAGGCACTCGCCCCTGCCTGCCTCCAGCTGAACACTGAGCCCAGGGCAGAGCTGCCTGTTACATGGCTGAGCACTTCCCTGGCTCTCCAGACATGAGACCAGGGTCTAGTGTAATCTGTCCACAACTTTCAGCCATCACTGTGAAACACCCTTTGCAGCATCCACACGAAACTCCCATTGAAGGACTTGTGACTACCCAACACCCCTTGACTTTTGCCTACCTATCTATGACTTTTTGCTGCCCACCCCACTTTGATGACTCTTCCTCCTCCTCCACCAAGGTCTCAGTCAAACCTTGCTGGGCACAAACCATCCATGATACCAGCTGAAGCCACCTCTGTGAGGAGGACCTAGCAGACCCACAAACCCATCTCTTTGCTCACTGCTTCCCCAAAGGAAAGAGAGCCAAAGGCATCAGGGTGAAGTGGCAGAAGGGAAGATGTGTCTGCCAGAGAAAAAGAGACCTTCCTGACTTTTTCTCTCTACTACACCATACTTCCAGTCAATTTTCTCAACCTACCTGCTGTTAGTCAGGCATTCCCTATGCCAACAGCTACCTGCAGCCTGGGCAGGACACTGTGGGGCAGAAGTAGTACTGGGGACAAACCCTGAGCACAAGGGAGGGCAAGCGGCAATCGTAAACATCCTCAGGAAGACAGCGGGTTGTGCCTTTCGTAGGTACTTAAGAGACAAACCAGCTGGTGCTGCGGGAAGAGCCTGGTACAGTTATTTGTACAACAACCATTTACTGCAAAAGTCCAATTTTTTTTTTCAGTTGCACAATGGATTTTTTCAGCTTTTCCTATGTTTAAATATAACCAGTGACAGAATATGTTCTGTATTACTTCTTTTTTTTTTTTTTTTTTTTTTTAAGATGTGAGAATAAAGGAGAAATGTCACAGTGAGTGATACAAAAAGTGACTTAAACCAGCAGACAATAAGGAACCTCTTGAAACACCAGCATTTTACACAGGGACACAGATGCATAAAATTTACTGTCAAAATGTTTATTGCAAAATAGAAGTTTGGAACAAAGAGAAGCAAAGGAAAAAGTTCACATCAAAAGAAAGTTTATGACACCAATTGAGGAAATTGAATACATTGCATGATTTCTTTTTGTTTGTTTGCTTTGGTTTTACACTGGAAAATCAAATCCACAGTGTGAATAAAACAAGACATCGTATGTCAAATGCAATAAAGAGAATAACTGACGCTGCAAGGTTTTACCACACAGAAGTGTAACATTGCATGTTCCACACAAACTATATATTCAGTTTACAGCACAAAAGTTTTGGCACAGGCATTGCGCTCAGCATTGTTTTTTTCAGAAGGGAGAATGAAGCTTTCTAACACTGTGAAAATATTTTCTATTCAAATTTCATCAGTTCACACTTGAAGTGTAGCATTGACGCCTACTATTCAGTACAAAACTTTTTCAGTAGTGCAAAAGCAAGAAATGCAGTGGACTATATCTGACTTTAAAAGGCATATGAATATTTAGCACACAATACAAAATGTTTAAAGAAGGTTGTTGGTTCTACAGTTCCAAAATTAAATCTTCACACATCAGAAATCTCTGTGCAGATTTTACAGTGTACACTAAGTTGAAGTCTGGGGGGAAAAGGGAAAGGTCTCTCCTCCAGATTCCCACCAGTGCATTGTAAGGGCTGTGATAATTACTAAATGAACTTATTTTTCTACCTGAACATTCTACCTAGGACTGTAGTGAAAACCGCTGTCAAGTTAGAGGTCTTACTAAAAACCTGTAAAAGCTGCCTGATTACAGAAAAAAGAACTACAGTACTAAAGACATAGTAACGCTGCTGAATACTTAACAGCTATATGCACACCATGGATTTAGTGCTACTGCTGACAGCAATACAAATAGTTATTGCATCAAATATTTAACTCAGAATAACCACTTTAAGACCCAGAAGGAAAGGGAATCAACATCTAACAAATTGCTGGAACGATAAGCAAATGGCAAGTCAAGAATGCAACTGTGTGACAAGAAGCTGTGCCAGACCCCACCTCCTGGAAGCCCTTCCCATCTAGAGGGGACAAGCTCCACGTCAGGCAGCACACGACCGGCTGGGGATGCAGTATGCTGACACACTGTACCTCAGGACACTCCAGGGAATTAGTGATGTGATCATCACAAAAATTACTAGATCAAAAGTTTTCCTCCATTAATTTCCCCTTCCATTTTTTCCCCACTGCTGAAGGAAAAGAAAGGGAGTTGTGAGTTGGACATCCTGTCTTGGTCCCAGCTCATCCTGCATCTTTAAGCAAGCCAAAAGCTGATCCTCACCATTCTTCTCTCGGGCCACTTACCCATCTAAGTCAGTGCTGGCAGTACAACAGCCTGGTCAAAATGAGTTATTCCAGCCTAGTTCTTACCTTTCCCCTCTGTCAAATGCAGCAACGTTATTTTACTGCAGATACTTCCAGGGCTTTACGGAAGGTAAAGAAAACTGGGATCCCAAAAGGCCTGGTGGGGACTAATAAGCTGAGAGGTGTGTATGCGGCATGGGAAGGCTTTTGGTGGCTCTGCTCATAGCTCAGAGCAGCCAGAGAAACTCCTTCTGGGTTTGGTTAATGCTTCATAAGCTGACAGACTACATGCCCGTGGACTGTTGTGGAGATCTATATACCCTGGTGACAATATAGGTAGAAGACAGACAGGGTTGCACTGTAGAGCAAAATCAGGTGTGGAAGATTAAATGCTCTAACCTCCTCCAACCAACATACCTGTCCACCAGTGCCACTTTCAAAACCTTTATCTAGTGAGAAGCGTATCAAAGGCAGAAACAACACAACTTGATTCTCATGTGTGTTTTTTGTCTTGTAAACTAGAAACATCCAGTATGAAATTCATCGCAGGAAAGTGAAAAAATGCAATCAATACCATTGTTTTTTAAATAAGAATAGCCAATATCCAAAGCACAAAACTCATGCAGGAGAACTGCATCAGAAGAGTTTGTCTCATGTTATTACCTTCTCTACAATTCAGAGACCACCTTTGCTACTTTGAACACACAGGTAAGTTTTACAAGAGTTGAATTTTTTTCCTTAATATAGCTTAATTTGCTTTGACAAATAATGTATGGGAAAAGAAAGGGGGGGGGAAAAATCCATCTTTGTTTCATAAAAAAATACTGGAACTAAGTAGATAGCGGAAATTCCTATGAGTATGCTACCAAATTCTGATGATATTTTACTGAATTAAGTTACGTGCCTGGGTAAGCACAAAACCTTGTAGACAGACTTGAACCTTGATTTTGCAACTATGAAGTCCTGTGTCATACTACTTAAGGACTATTTTTACTTCTGTAAAGATTAGGAGTGCATTTATAAATTCAGTTAAAATCCATGCAAATATAAATGTGCATGAAGTGCTCAAAGATTGTCACATGCTAAAAAAGTGCAAAACATCAATGGCTAGGAACAGATTTTCTTTGTTTTTTTGAATACTAAATGTACTGAATCAAACTTCATTTTCAGTTAAAGCTGAAAGTCCTACATTCCTTATGTGTTACAGTAATTTATGCACAATGACATACATCCTAAGATCTAAAGTGCACATATCAGATTACACAAATCAATCAAATTTTCCTCGGTGCAAAGTTGCAGTTACAAAAATAGTATCATTGCTGTGGGTGTTAGCAGATGTAGACTTACAAAAATAGTACAAAATCTGCACTGGAAACAGCCTATTTGCTCTTATTTCCAATTTAACTATTTGCCCTTCAATGTCCCTTTTTCTCCCTAAAACCAGGTTGCTTTGATGGACCTAAGAAGCCATCCCTACCTCTGCCAAAGCAGCAAGTTTCTCCTTGGTATTCTCTGTAAACTTATTACATCATTTAAATCACAATTCTATCATGAGAAAAGCTTCCTGATAGAAGAAGTTTAACTTCAAGCCAATGGATTTGCAGTGGTTAGGAAGAAGGTGGAATGTGGAATGGCAT